TGCCTCTGAAACGTAGTGGAGTAGAAGAATAAAGCATAAAATAGAAATACTGGTCTAAAAATCAAGTTATATTCAAGCACCGGACGTTTTAGCAAATGATGAACGCAGAAACGTGCATTATATTGGAAAAGGCAAGAAGAAAGAGACTCATGTTTTGCAGATCTCTTGGCACTAAATGTAAATGGCAAACCAACATGAATTTCTAGACTGGAAAACTCTGGAACGTCCCTTCACGCATCTGGATAAGCTTGAGTGTGTATGTTATGGCCAGTATTGGCTCTTTGCAAAATATTGATCACTTTAACAAGAGGAAACCTCTCCTCTATTGCCTTTTGTACCATAACATTCTGCACAGAGCCAGTGACTGGATTACAACTGTAGAAAGATTTGAAATATGATATTACTGGATACAACACACCAACAGCACAGGCCCGTTGCTGTCACACGTACTGCAATGAACATCCAGATTTCTGCACGTATGACCTCATGTTGGTTCACTTTATTATTCCTGAGCATTTAAATCCCAATTGCCAGAGGGAGCAGGAGTAAAAGCTGAAGAAGAGGAATGTAATTGTATAACCATGCAGGATTTAAATCTTTTTCACCTTGGTGATGGCATTCCATCAAATAGCCACTCAGGCCAGTTCATGATGCGCGGACCCCAGAGAGCAGCATACCATGTGTCTTCAGAAAACCTCCCAGCATTTCAGTGACAGCCGGATGTGTTGGGGGGGCGGGGGGGGCCATTGTTACTTTGTCTGATGGATGAAGCTGCGGCACACTCACTGGAGAAAAAGACACAGCGTCCATCAGGTTCTCATTACTCCCTTATTGTACATATACACTGAGCCAGATAAAGTGTGGGAGCCAGGTTATGTTGTCACTTTTTCTGATTTGTACTTTTTTCCTATATGTCCCAAAGACGAATGCGTGCATTCAGAAAATATGAGTGCATGATCTCCTGTCAACATGCAACCATCCAAAATTACACAGATTTAGCATCTAATTTACTAAAGCCTGCACAAAATCTGAATGAATGCAGCTTTTTCCCAGGTCAGAGTTTTTCCTGGTTTATTCAAACCATTTGCACCATTGTAGTCACTCTGTGTTTTCCAGTCAGAGCCACTGCAGCTGACCTGCATTTTGTTCCAAACATGACTGCACCCTTTTCTTCACGCTCTCAAAGCAGCTTTTACTATCACCTGCATACCTGTTACTGAGCCACACAAATTTCCTGCTTTACACAGGCAGGTTTTCTCACAGTCACACCTCCAAATGAAGAATGAAAGACACCCGCTGATGGGCCTATTAAGTTCAAGAGTGATGTAGCAGGGTCAAATGAGTGTTAATTTGTTTTGGGTAAATTGAGTGAAAGCTAGTCACAGTCTATTGATGCAGAAAGGCTCATAAATCACACTAATGCAGCGATTTCACTTAATCCTTGGTGCATTCTTTGTACAGCATGCTCATCCAAATCACCCCTGTGTTGCTGAGCCAAAAGTATAGTTCTTCCTGGCTGAAAGCTGTTGGCTTTGGCCAGCTGCATCAACCTCATTCGGCCTCAACTGAAAAATGTCAGCTGCGGCCGTTTTTGTTTTTGTAAGATTAACTAATGAATCTCACTGAATAAATGAAGGAAACGCACCAGCTATTAAAAAAAAAAAAAACAACAACAATGTTTCACACTTTTAAAATGGTGACAACAGGGAGATTTTCAAGTTTTGGTGCTGAGTTGGTCAGTTTTCCCACATGTTGAAAAAAGTCTCTCATGTAGCCCAGCTTCAATACATCTGGTGTTTAGTTTGATCTAGCAAAGAAGCTTTTTGAAATTATTTTTATAGCCTCTCTGCTTGATTTAATAGTGGACAATAAATAAGAGAAGGAGGATGTCATGCAACAAGAGCCGTGCTCAAACTCACGACTTTGCTCTTATATGGTATCCAATTGTCTGCTGCATCATGGAAGGGCCTCAGAAGGGCAATGCTAACAGTAACACATAACTCCTTTAATGAAAGCTGACATCTCTTGGAATAGGTGCCCCTGCAACACATCTTTAAATCCAGTAACCTCGTATAAACTGCACATTCTGCTGAAGAGTCAGTGAAATGTGAATGAGGGACTCGCTGTTCTGGCCACGCCCACTCTGGGCAGTAGGCAGTAGAGACTGTCGGTCTTCTCACTTTAACAACCTATTTCATGTGTTTTCACTCTGGTTTATATTTTCCTTCTCTCAGTCATTTTCATGTAACTGCCCCATGCATAGCTGGGTTTTATCTGTCCTACAGTGTTTCAGCTAAGTCAGAGTCTGTTACTCCAGTTTATTTGGTTTCATGCATCCGTTGGCTTTTCTAAAACACCGAGGCTACCAAACCGTTTATCACTGTGCAATAACATATCTCCTTAAAAACAAAAGATTTGAGATGTGCAATTACAGTCACGCTCCACTCAGAAAGTTGCTTATGTTCACTTCACAGGGCAGAACGTGCAGACTTCAACAGGCTGTTTTCAGATTCATCTGGTGAGAGATGAAAGTTTCTCTTTGCTCACTTTAAATGTGAGTTTAACATGTGCATGTACGAGCATGATTTTGTGCCATCGCAGACTGTCTAGAAGTCAATTCATGGTCAAATGTACAGCTTACACATGTGTGAACTGGAAATCACCAGAACACCTGTTCTGAGAATGGGCCTGTCACTAAAGTTACCTGAAACTGTGTTGGATGTACATCAGTGTTGTCTTTGGCTACTTTGTAAAGGTGTTATGGAGTTTTAAATAACACATGCTTTCAAACTCTTCAGATTTTTCTTCAGTTCAGTTAACAATAAAGACTTCCTAGCACTCTGGTATCTGCACGATGACTTACACACCCTACACTTACTGAACATTATTCACTCGAGCCCATTCACACTCTTCATCTTCCTGAGCTGCTGCACTGTTTGGACTGCTCCTAACAAGCACATCCATGTCCTTTCTTCAAGGTTATGTGGTTGTAAATGACATTAAGGGAGATAAGTGGGACCTGTAAAAAAAGCATTTGGAAACTCTTCTCAGTAACCCCGAAGTAGGACGGCATGACACCCCTTTAACTTCCTTTTCCTTTTACAAAATGATTAAATGCAGTTTGGTTTGGAGGTTTTGTGTAGATAACAAGGAATAACAAAACAGTAAATAATAAAAAGCCAATTGATTTGTTGTTGAATGTGCCATAGGAAAATGTGTTCTCTTCGAGTGTGTCTCATCTAAGGAAGCTGTGTTCAGTGCGTCTTTATTTCCCTCTGGTGTTAGCAAGAGGAAATAATCAGAGATCTTCTATGTGGTGTTGAGTTGGTGACTGCGGCTGTTTCCACAAATTCTTTATCTTACTGAGGAATGCTTTTGTTTCGAGTAGTCGGACAATACGTCTCTCGGTAAGTTGACAAGCCAACTCACAAATGTAATTACTGTGACTTTCACTGTATAGATGTTGTAGATTTGGGGGGTGTCAATATCTGACTAAGTGTTTTTGTAGATTGTTTAATTTCAGTCCATCCCCGCCTCACTGATGTAAGACCTAGTGATGATGCTGTTAGACAGGCTGCATTCTTTATTTTAGGGTCAACTGTTCCTTTAAGTAAAATCACTTTTTCTTACATAAATACAACACAATACCAGCAGAGAGTGCTGTGCAACTTTGTTTGGCAGTTCTTTGTCAGATCTCTGTCATGTAATGGTCAAGGACTTGGTAGAGACTGGATAAGGGCACTGATCGGTAAGCATTAGGGTCAGGGGCAATGCTGGACATACTCAGATTGTGTACTTAAGTTAAAATACTGTGTTACAGGTAGAAGTCCTGCATTCAAACTGTTACTTAAGCAAAAGTACAAAAGTAATAGCATCAAAATATACTTTAAGCATCAAAAATGAAAGTGCTCATTATGATGAATAGCACATCTCACATTAATGTATAATTACTGATGCATTATCTTGATCATCAACTGAAGGTAGAGTTGATCTTACCTTATAATTTTAAATAGACATGCTTTACACACTGCTGGGTAGCTTGTGAATTTCCCACCAGGGATCAATATCTAATGATTATATCACATTTTGTTTTATTAGTCTGATTGTAAAAAGTAGCCTAACTAAAGTTAGTGGAATAAAAAGTAGAATCTTTGCCTCTAAAATAAGGTGAAGTCAAAGTATAAGGTAAGTATAAGATAGGTTACCTCAAAATTGTACTTACGTACTTAATTAATTAAAGCATCATCAAAAACCCCTGGTTAGGGTGAGGATCGGGTTCAGATTAAGGTAAGAACAGACACCTCCCACAGAATCTACTAAGTAAATGCCAAATTAAACATCGCGAATACTGGTGAGCCAATGTGTAAACAAGGAAGTAAAACTCAGCCAATGTCTGTCCCCGAGAACTGCAGGCGCATAGAAAGAGTATCCGACAGTGACAGAGGTCTGTGACGGTGAAATGATCAATGATTACGACGTTGTTTGATTTACAATATGTATAAGTGCTAGTTGCCCCCCGGGCCGTGCTGGCTCCTACATGTTCACCCCCCTCTACTCATGTTATTTCCTGTTTCCTCCAGCTTTTGGTCACAACGTGCAAATATCGCCAGACAAAAGACTTTGGACCGAATCCACCGCCGAGGACTCAGCGCCATCCTTCACTTCGGTGCCGTGACCAAATAAAGGCAACAAAGAGAGAGAAAAACAGACAGAGGTGTGACTCGGCGCATGTTTGTGGCACCAACAAACCACAAAGTATAATTGCAAAAGCATCGGGAAGTGTTGCGATATTATGGCGTCCTGTTGAAAAGGAGTGTGGGTTTTTAAATGTGATATGTGATGTGTGTTATTATACGTATTTTTTATGTGAAATGCACGTTTTAGAGGCGGTCCTGTTCGGATTATTCATTTAAAGCTGGTTATTTTGCATTGTGGTCATTGTGGGTACATGCTATGCATGTGACCGTTGTGCAGCCCTGAACACCGTCACTACGCTTTTCTCCACCATAGTTTGAGCGGTCTTGCGAGGCATAGACGATCTTTGCAGCCAGTTTCTAGAAGGGGGCAAAGACCACGGAAATGTGCCCATCACCGAGTCCCGGCGTGGCTTTCGGATGGGTGTGGTCACATTAGGGGAAGTTGTCGCTCCACAGTCGATCGGCTGGTGAATACGGATCCTGAGGAAGTGCGACTGGCATGAACATTTAGGAAAGATTGGTGTGTGCTTTTAGTTCGTAGAAGGGAGGAGAACTCTCTCGGGGATCAGTTTTATCAAGGTACGCGCAACACATGTCTCAGTTGTTTTGTGGTTTAATGTGTAAGGAGTCTGACTTGGCCTTTACCACAGAGGCAGGCTGGTGTTTGTCAGCATCTTGGTAAATGTTTTTAGCTGCATTTTAATGCCATCTCACCACTTACACCCAGGTGCTGGTTTGAGACAGTAGGTGTTATTGGGTGGCTTTTTGTTGTCTCTTATTTTGCAGACATGCACCGTTGTATTTTACTATCAGAACAGTTTATGGTATATAATAGTCTAAAGCAAATGCTTCTGTGGATGAATAACCTCCCCTTCTAATTTATTTATGTTTTACTTCATTTAGTATATTTGCTTTTGCATTGTATTTACCTTTTGTATTATTGTTTATCGTCCTCACTTTTTTTTATTTTTGTAGTTGCTGTAAGTGCAGCTTCCCTTTACAATTAATGAAGTACTCATCTATCTATCTATCTGTCTGTCAGCCTGATATTTAGCACATTAAATTAGTGACAGATATTATTACTTGTTATTAAATGTTCACACAAAACCAAAGTCTACTGTAATTGTGGTTAGGGCTCAAAATAGTGGATGACACTGTGCCCTTATTCCTGAAAAGGTCATGTGTACTGTGAAGCACAAACTTTCCCTGTGATTGTCCATTTACATACAGTCCTGCTCAAAGGCTCCATTGAGCTGATGAATGTGAACCTCCGGTCAAAGGAACCTTTCTGACAGAGTAGGCTCAGTACTGTGAGAACGGTTGCTGTCGCAGCCCAAAGCAACACCAGCTGATAATGTAGTTTGACTGAGCCGAATGACGAGACGCGTTGTTTCAAGCAAGATGTGTAACATGAGCAAGTGGCTGTCTTTTAATGCTTGAATCTGTGTGACGTTTCCAGAACAATGGGCCTCCTGCAGCTGCTGAAGTCCCAGTTCTTGTGCCACCTTCTCATCGGCTATGTCTTCCTGGTCAGTGGCCTCATTGTCAACCTATTGCAGCTCTGCACTTTACCTCTGTGGCTGGTCAGTAAGCAGCTGGCTCGCAGGGTCAACATCAGACTGGCCTACTGCATCAACAGCCGTATGTATTGTTCTCATTCTCTGCTACACAGATGATACTGGAGTCTCTTGTCTCTTGGTACTGGAGTCATTTCATTGGTGCCTGCTGCAATGAACATGGTCCAAGGTTTATTATTAATGAATATGCAGTCAAACTGTGTCTTCATCATTGTGTCCTAATGCTCCTCAGAGCTGGTAGCTGTTCTGGAGTGGTGGTCGGGGACAGAATGCACGCTCTACACAGACCCAAAGAGTTATCCACTGTATGGAAAAGAAAATGCAATTGTGGTTCTCAACCACAGTTTTGAGATAGACTTCCTGTGTGGCTGGACCTTCTGTGAGAGATTTGGAGTTCTTGGGGTAAAATCACAAGCTTGATCTTTATTCTTACTTTGATATATTATTATTTATTTATTTATTTTTTTGCTGCAATTCGGGGCTGTCCTTCAGTTCCTGATGTGCTTCACATTTCAATCTTGTTCCAGAGTTCAAAGGTGCTAGCCAAGAAGGAGTTGGCTTATGTGCCTGTGATTGGTTGGATGTGGTATTTCCTGGAGATAGTTTTCTGCAAGAGGAAGTGGGAGGAGGACCGAAGGACAGTGGCTCAGAGTCTTCAGAACCTGCGGGATTACCCAGAAAACTACTGGGTTAGTTTCACTTTCTTGTTAAAGCAGTGTGACTGAAGCTGAAAGCCACTGTGTCGTGTGAGATCATGCTGGATGTGAAAAGATGCAATAAGTCATAGCCTCTCTCTTTTCCTGTGGCTAGTTCTTGCTTCACTGTGAAGGAACACGCCTCACACCCAAGAAGCACCAGATCAGCATGCAGGTGGCTGAGAGTAAAGGTCTGCCCAAACTGAAGTATCACCTTTTGCCCAGGACCAAAGGATTTGGGATAACTGTTCAAAACCTCAGAGGAGCTGGTGAGTATCCATCATTGATATGGCCACCAGATACTGTGAGCTGAATGTCTTGGAGAGGGAAAAGGTAGAGGCATTTGCAGAGTTAACTGCTTTTGTGTGTTTTTCTCTTGTGTAGCTGCAGCTGTATATGACTCCACACTGAATTTCAGAAACAACGAAGCACCAACCCTGCTTGGAATTATTAATGGGAAGAAATATCATGCAGATTTATATGTGAGGTATAAAGAAATATTTTGCATGCTCATTTCCACCCATTTAATTTTTAATCTTGGGTACCTCTAGATTAGCTTTGTACCCATCGTAACTCCAAATAGTTTGTAATTATTTTGAATGACAAAGCCACCTCCTGAAAATGAGAGGATAGTTTGTGAATGCACACAACTCCTGTTGCTGGTCAGGAAGCTACCACAGTGCATAAACAAAAAACATTGACAAATAAGCTACATTTTCGACAATGACAATACCTCAAAGCCTACCTGACATGTTTGAGCCAGAATATGAAAATAGACAGCACAGCAAACTGCAACAGCATTAATTAGTTTGAAAACTGCATGCAGTCTGGCGCCGCTGGATTTTAGCAAGTTTACTTGAACCCGCTACTGCCTGAAATTCTGTGAACTATTGCGTAAGACTTTACATAGGTGGAAAACTCTTGCAAAAGAGTTTGCGAGACTTGTGTAAACCAAGTTGCTTCTGCATAAAAATACAACATAGCTACCCCTTGTTTTTTGAGCTTTCAGTCACATTTAAGATAATTCATCATTGTAACACTGTAGATAAGTTAGAAAAGAGAAAAACATGCCATGAGCTCTTAAACTGTGAGTGCTGACTTCCCTTTTTACTTGCAGGAGAATCCCTCTAGAAGTGATTCCAGAAGATGAGGCAGGGTGTGCTGCTTGGCTCCATAAACTGTACCAGGAAAAGGTCAGTGTGTTCTGTGTGGAAGGTGGATTTATTGATCAATAAATATGGGAGAATTTCCTACATTTCTGCCCACCCAGATTCCAAAGACCTAAACAGTAGCCATACTTATTAAATATGGTAGTTACATTTTGAGTCCTACCACTTCTTAGACAAATATGGTAACATGGCTTTCAGAAAACAAACTCAGCCACATTTTGTTAAGTTCTTGATACTGAGTTGTTTGCGTGAATGTATCTGCAGGATAGCTTCCAGGAACACTATACACAAACGGGCCGTTTCCCTGGTCCCATAGTGAGCCCTCCACGCCGACCCTGGCCCTTAATCAACTGGTTGTTTTGGTCCTGCTTGCTCCTTTACCCACTAGGCCTGCTGCTCGTTCGGTTGATCAGCTCTGGATCAGTGCTGACAATCCTTGCATCTGTGGCTTTGTGCTCTGCAGGTTGGTCTCATGCATTCATGTCCATTGTGAATTAACCCTGAAATACATCTAATGGTGCTTCCTCCAGTTTAACCAGCTCCTTTTTGTCCAAACATTTCATAAAGCAGCAGATCTGGCAACTCAAATGTAAGTCCCTCTTTTTGGAAAATATGATTGGGAGCATGTCCCTAACATGTGGCATGTGCTTACTTAAACTTGCAAAGTTAAACATTAATCCATCTGAATAGTTCCACTGAGATATTAGATGGAGAGATGATTTCTCTAACAGCATGGGTTCATGAGGATCATGTTACAGTTTCCACAGTAAATACAGTAAGTGACCATGTTGGTGGTTAAAGGTTAAGAAGACACATTCTGGTTTGAGTAGTTTATTTATTTTTTTGGAATTCAATATTCTGTTAACACAGAGCACAAACATAACCCGTTTCCCACCCCAAATATCAGAGAATAGAAAGACTTCCATTTTCATAGGTGCCACCAGATCTTCTATCTGTACCCACACTACTCTGCCCTTCTTGAAACCAGACTGCAGGATTGTAGGGTAAATGCCTGCAGTTTAAAACTGGGACAGGCCCATCCCGCATTAACTTTGTTTTGTTATAAGACTGGTCATTTAAGTCTCGGCTTTTTTCATTTCATACATACGACCTCAACATTGTATATCTAACTTGGGTATCAAGTTTATGCGGGGCAGTGAGATTTGAGCCAGAACTGAGGATGGAAACATTTTCCACCTAGTAATATCACTTTCTGCCTTTTTTCATTTTATTAAAGTAATACATTTTAGCTAATGCTGCAAGTGAGGTCCTGATGTGTATCCATAAATAAGTCCTGGTCCACGGCTGGGATGTTGGTGGGGATGTCTGCCTTGTCAGGAGTTGCAATTATTAGCAGGGGCATAGACTTGGAATAATTCATTTTAAAGCCTGACAGCCTCCCAAAATCTTCTAAGATCTGTATTGTGCTAGGAAGGAAGTACTCCACATTGGATAGGAACAACAAGGTGTCTGCATACATCAATATCGAATCTGTGGCGTGTCCTAATGTGATAGGAGTTATTGCTGGGCTGTTACAAATTAGCTGGGCAATTGGATCCATTGAAAGATTAAACAGTAATGGTGAGAGCGATCATCCTTGGCGCAAGCCCCTAAATACTCTGAAAGCCTTTAAAATGGTGTCTTTAATGCTTATTTGGGCCAAATAATTATGGTATTGGGTTTGCATTGTTTGTATAAATGTAGGGCCAAAATTAAATTCTGAAAATGTCTGCCATAGGTAATTCCACTCTAGTCTATCGAAGGCCAGTGCTTGGAGGATTTGTCTTGGGTTCCACAAGTATGTGCAGTATTCTCCATACATTGTCTGAAGCTAGTTGTTTCTTTAAGAATCCAGTTTGATCCAGATTAATTAGACTGCCTATAACCATTTTTAGCCTTGTGACCAGCACTTTTGCATATAATTTTAGATTTGCGTTAATGAGTGAGATTGGGCGGTAATTGGCGCATTTCATCGGGTCCTTCCCTGGTTTGGCTATAACTGTGATAAGTGCAGTGTTCAAATCCCTGAGTAAATGCCCATTTTCACAGTTTATGGGATTTAGCCAATATTGGCCTAGGATGTCACTGCATATAGATCTGGCAGTATCCCGTCCATCTCTGGAGAATTACCCTTATTAATAGCTTTTTGCAGCTCATCCTATGTGATCGGAGCCTGTCTTGTTCATCTTTTGCCAGGGATGCATAATTCGAGTTTGAAAAAGTTTGTCATAATTCAACCCTGTCCCCTGAGCCTCAGAGATGTATAGATTGGAGAAAAAGGACAAATACTCCTACGATGTCAGATGGGGATGTGACCACCCTATTCTCTGGGCATTTAATAGCAGTTATAGCTCTGCCTTTTTCTGTCCCCTGAAGCAGCCACTGTTTTGTAAAATCTGTTTTGTAGTCTTGAGGTGTACCTATGTATCTGCTTCCTGCAAAGAAAGTCAAGGATCCGGGTTCTTTTTGGTGGTGAGTTAAGGCCCTTGACATTAAATGACAAGACTGAGTATCTATCCATTTTCTCTGATTGTTGGGCCTGGATGGTGACTTGAGTCTAATAAACTGTCCACATAGTAAACTGATGCTATGAGAGTAGGCATTATGGATGCTCTTTGGTGCCTAATTGGTACAACAATGGGCCCCGCCAGGTAGTGTTCTACCTCATTAGAGTTGAATAATAGCTTCTCGCCATTACATATGATCCTCAGTGTAGCAGGATAAATCAGGAATGAGTCTTTACCCTTCTGGTGGAGTTATCTGAAGCTGTTTCGCTGTTCTGTCATTCCTGAGCTGTAGTCTGTGTAGAATTTCAGTTGAGTCCCATTCTAGAGATCTCATCTTGCAGGCTCCTTACAATATGGCCTGTCTGAGTGTTTAGTTTAGAAGTCGGAGTTATTGGAGTAGATACAGGGAGTTCTATCTGTCTCCAGAAGCCTTCCAGCTGGTAGTTTTAGCCCCAGAATCCATTTTGGGAGAATTATTTGTAAATAGCCCACTGGGTTATCTCCCTTGGCACCCATCAGGAGGTTTATCTGGACCTGTCCTTGAGCTCATCATTAATCTTCTTGTATAGCCCCCCTGTTTGAGAGATACATTGGGTTTCATCCTTCTTGGCTTGGCGAACAGTCGCCTGCAGGGCCTCTAGTTTAGCGGACATTGTCTCCATGGTTTTGACATGTGCACTGATTTCGATTTAAAAAGGAACGAAGCACCTCTGTGTTCTTTATTATGTCCTCCTCATTCGGTTTTAAGGCTTGACCCAAAATATGAGTTGAGCAGATCTTTTTGGGTCTGCTGTCTGCAGTATTAACGCTGTTATCTCCTCTGTTGCCATGCTAGCTAGTTGAGTGGAGTTGAAATGTTTTCCAGAGTTGTTTCAGGGGTGTGTTGCAGCTGAGGTTTTTCTTCTGGGGCATTTCCTCCTGTGTCTAAAGGTCGGCATACGAAGTGGTTTGCTAAAGTTTAAGTACGATCTATTTGGAATTATTGCAGAATGGGGAAGGCTTTGGCCAGAGCTCATTGTGAAGTGGCCATCATCCTGCATGTCTCACCAGAACTCCCTGATTTGAGTATTTATTAAACATTCTCTTAAATTGGAACTGAAAATTGGACTTTCTCCAGTTATTGGTTGTCGATATACTTAACCCTTAGCTTGCAATCTCAGTGACAAATTGAACCAAGTCACTTAGAAAGTCTTTATACTTTTCAATTTTGTAATTTTCCATTTAAAGGGAGTTTACTGTGGAAATAACCATGTCCTGTGCAGGATCTGAAAACCTGTCACCACTTTTTGTCTCTTGTTCAGAAAATATTCTAAATGTACCCTTTCTGAATATCTTCACAGCTTCACTGGGAGTTCGCTGGATGATTGGCCAGACTGAGACTGACAGAGGGTCAAGCTATGGGAATAAAGAGGGTCCTTTAAACAACTAAGGAATCCTGACCTACTCAGTGCTACTGCTTTGCACAGCTACTAATCCAAGAGCATCCAGCAGAGGGGTTCGTAAAAAACAAAAAACAAAAAAAAAAACAAAACAGCCTTAACAGGATTCTAGTGGTTGAACAAGTGCAAACCTGCTTCACAGTGCAGGAGGGAACGAACTTGTCTTTCCACATACCACGTTAAGACAAGATGCGAGATGCAAGACAATGAAACTATGTTTTCCTGAAATCAGAGGGTAAATATATGAAGACAGATATATTCACTGGTAATTCAGAATGACACCTAAATTTAACTAAGCAAAAAATTAACTACCTCTTTTGTAGTAATGTAATAATAAACAGCATTTTACTGTTCTTTAAAAAAATGGTTTATTAATATGAATAGTAAATAAGCACTGAAAGAACAGTGGACTAAAAGAAGTGCTGTGTCTGGGTTTGGTTGTGGATGTGTTGTTCAAGTGCAGGTCTCTTATTTGGCTACGCTTCAGTCACATAATCAGCTCTGAAACCAGCAGATTTGCTCCAAAAGCCCCCTAAAGCTTCCAGTTGATGTTTACTTCTCAGCAAAAGCAGTGTGGGGGAAAAAAAAACGGTACACAGTCCTTCCGGATGATGGCACTTGCCAGTTGACAAGTAATAAATTGTATACTATGAGTATTATATTTGGAAAGCAGGAACACTTTTAAATAGATGCTAAAGCAGTCTCTGACCTAGATACAGTACATGATGTAGAATCTGTCCCTTGTTGGCAGTGTATTAAGCAGCAATGACCCCTAGTGTCCGGAATCAAACCAGACATGACACATTTTCTTACCTGGGGCAGCTGTGGCTCACAAGGCTCATGAAGTAGACCGGGTTGTCTCCGAACTGGTGGTTCAATTCCTGACTCCTCCAGTCCACATGTCAGTGTCCTTGAGCAAGACACCGAACACTTAGTTGCTCCTGATTATATCACTGGTGTGTTTTGTGTGTGGGAATGGGTGAGTGGGAAATAGAGTAAAGCACTTTGAGTGCACATCAATGTGTAGAAAGGCACTATATATATATATGTAACCATTTTCCTGCTGTTGTGCATGTGCCGTTTTACTCACACAGCATGTTACAAAAGTTGGTCCTCAGCTAGGCTAAACTGTGTTGTCTCATATAATTCTGAAATAAATAGCATCTGTTCTTACTCTGAGGAAGACTGTGCCACTGACCCTTGATATCACAGTGGACAGTGTTTTTCTGACATTAATGGTCATAGTGACCAGTTTGCTGTAAAGTCTTGACACATTCAGGAGCCCAAGTCTGTCTTTTTTTTTTTTTTTAAATGCATTTTTTTGCGTGTAACCAACATAGTTCAGAATGGTTATTCAATACAAGATAATTGTCCTTTTGTTTGCCAGTTGAAACAATAAATTCATATTACAATATATACAACACTGTATTATATTTCGCTGTCTGTTCAGTTTCTTTTTAATTGTGCATTATACACTATGCTTTAATACACTATGCTTTATCTTAAGAGTTTTTTCACCCCCCCCCCCCCGCTCCTCAATCACAGCGGAACAAGAAAATACTGCCAAAAAACTAAACTGGAGAAATTCTGTACTAAAGAAATGACTTGATAAACACTTTTTAAAGTCAGACTTGTGAACTCTGTCAAAATTACTTTTTTTGGAGGTACTATAACAAAACAAGTCATTTTCCTTCTTGAAACAAATACACATTTCCCTTAAAAAACAAAAAAAAGACTGGTTTATTAATATTCTTTGTACATAGCAAACACTGTAAGAGCAGCAGATGACCAGACGTTGTGGTGTGTGTCAGTGTCTTTGTTTTGTTGTGTGGATGTTCTGTGTTCAGCAGCAGGGAGGGAGAGCAGGCCCCACGTCACCTCTTGGTCTCCAGTCACCCAAACACTCTTCATCAAACTTGAACATTGCTCCAAATTGATATTTACTCCGCTTCAAAGGCAAAGAAAAAAAAAAAAAAAAAACACACACACACACGCACAAAAAATCCTTCTAAGTGCCCACACTTGTCAAATGACAAGTGATAAATTAATCTGAATATTTGGGTGTTCATTTCATAAAGGTAAACCAGCGTCTCCTCTATTTCGTGAGGCTTACCACACCCTTTTTCATTCTATAAGGGTGTCTAAAATAAGATTCCTCCCTCCTCCACGTAACTGCCCCCTTGGGTAGACAGTTTAAAAAGTGCCATAGATGTTGCCCCCCCCCCCTTAAAAAAAATCCTCAATGCCTTTTCCAAAGTCTCTTCACCAGTGAGAACAAATGTGTCAATAATTACTTTAACTTTACAGTATTGTTTATGCAAGGATTAAAGTCAATCCTATTCCTACAGTCCCACCCCTGCCCCTCCTCCCCCAATCAATAGATGCAACAACCTTATACTCCATAGGCCCAGTTGTCTTCTGAAATGATATTGTATTAGTTCCTCAGTTTAGCTCAATGTGCCTTCAGCAGTAACTTCCACAGTTCTTTTATCGTTTGCCATCAGCATGTACAGTAGTGCTTTGATTTGTAAACTTGACAGACACAGAGGTTTTGTTCATTCTTCGTCCGTACAAACCTGAAAGACAAGAGACAGCAGCTGCAATGTAATGTTCAGTCAAGCTTGTGATATGTTCTGTGATTCTATGTGGTTTTAATCTGGCAATAGCATCATAAAAAGAGAATGCAGCAGCATCTCACCTTGACAAATGGGTGGTCTAGCAACATGCTAGCTGTCCAGCGACATCTGGGTTCACTCTCCAGACAGTGACCAAGGAAGTCCTTCCCTTCTGTGCTCAGCTTCTCTGGGATCGGGGGTTTATGGCCCATGCCCACTTTGTACATGATCTGGAAGTTGTGCTCGTACTCAGCAAAGGCAAAGAAAAAAAAAAAAAAAACACACACACACACGCACAAAAAATCCTTCTAAGTGCCCACACTTGTCAAATGACAAGTGATAAATTAATCTGAATATTTGGGTGTTCATTTCATAAAGGTAAACCAGCGTCTCCTCTATTTCGTGAGGCTTACCACACCCTTTTTCATTCTATAAGGGTGTCTAAAATAAGATTCCTCCCTCCTCCACGTAACTGCCCCCTTGGGTAGACAGTTTAAAAAGTGCCATAGATGTTGCCCCCCCCCCCTTAAAAAAAATCCTCAATGCCTTTTCCAAAGTCTCTTCACCAGTGAGAACAAATGTGTCAATAATTACTTTAACTTTACAGTATTGTTTATGCAAGGATTAAAGTCAATCCTATTCCTACAGTCCCACCCCTGCCCCTCCTCCCCCAATCAATAGATGCAACAACCTTATACTCCATAGGCCCAGTTGTCTTCTGAAATGATATTGTATTAGTTCCTCAGTTTAGCTCAATGTGCCTTCAGCAGTAACTTCCACAGTTCTTTTATCGTTTGCCATCAGCATGTACAGTAGTGCTTTGATTTGTAAACTTGACAGACACAGAGGTTTTGTTCATTCTTCGTCCGTACAAACCTGAAAGACAAGAGACAGCAGCTGCAATGTAATGTTCAGTCAAGCTTGTGATATGTTCTGTGATTCTATGTGGTTTTAATCTGGCAATAGCATCATAAAAAGAGAATGCAGCAGCATCTCACCTTGACAAATGGGTGGTCTAGCAACATGCTAGCTGTCCAGCGACATCTGGGTTCACTCTCCAGACAGTGACCAAGGAAGTCCTTCCCTTCTGTGCTCAGCTTCTCTGGGATCGGGGGTTTATGGCCCATGCCCACTTTGTACATGATCTGGAAGTTGTGCTCGTACTCATGCCAGGGCCTCTGCAGGTTGAGAGAAACAAAGTGAG